CTCCACTATGGAAAACTTGAGAAAATGAAAACTGAATTGGAGTATAAAACAAATTCCAACCACACAATAGAGCAAAAAACTAATGTGAAGGATGTGGGAGTGATGATGTCAGCGAGTCTCACTGTCCAAGATCACAACCATGTATCTACTACATCTGCTAGGAAAATAATGAAATGGATAATGAGAACCTTCAAAACAAGGGATGCCAGGCCAATGATGATTCTCTTCAAATCACTTGTTCTCTCTAGGCTGGAGTATTTTTGTACACTAACGACCCCTCTTTGCGGATGATTATCAGCTCCTGTGCTAGACAGCACACCCCACCACTTTTCAAAAGCCTGAACTTAATAAATATACGAGACATACGCTCACATTATTGTGCCTACTACATATACAAAACATTAAACTCTAATATAAACCCTCCACTTAAACTTCTCCTCGATGGCTACAACAGAACATTTAGTCACAATACAAGGCATAAGGCACTCTTGGACATCCCTCATGTCAGTCTCACACTGCAAAAATGCAATGCACATAAAGGGCTCGAAGATCTGGAATTCACTACCTGAACCAGTAAAGGATCCCCCGACTACTTACAATTATAGGACTTTGCTTAAAAATCATCTCATCTCTCAATATTAACCAAACCAACCTGAACAACTTCAAATCAGTTTGAAGCAACTCTCCCACATATTATATTATATGATCACTAGTCTATTAACCCTTTGACTGTTTCAGTCATATTATATACGTCTTACGAGCCACTGTGTTTGACGTATTAATACTCATAAATTCCAGTGGTCTCAAATCAAGCAGGAAAAGCTGGTAGGCCCACATGTGAGATAATGGGTCTCCATAGTCAGTGTGCACCATATAAAAAAATTGGGGAACCAGTGGTGCATTGTGGGAATGCCATTTCAGTAGTCCTTGTTCAGCATGCCTAGCGGTAAGAAATATGTGGCTCCCCGGCAAATCTGGGACACTATTCTCAAGTGATGCTCTAACACAGATGGAAGTGTCAGTGAAGATCAATTTCATGGTTTTGAGGAGTTGTTGACCAAAAACAATGCCCAGGATACCAGAAGAATGAAGGAGAATGAGAGAGAGAATGAGAGAGAGAATAAGAGAGAATGAGAGAGAGAGAGACAGAGAATAAGGGAGATAATTAGATACAGGTCCTCCATCACAAATCTGGCATCATTGGGACCTGTAGTGTGCCGGATTACTGAGTTTGCCGGATTACAGAGTGGTTAGGTTAGAATACACTTAATAAAATTAACCAACTTGACTTACACAAAGTTCATTGAACATTGGCAAAAATCGAACATTTCTGCTACTCTGAGCTCAATTTCAAGGTACTTTTCATCATGAAACCAATCAAAATCATGTCTATTTCTGTAATATACCTTTCATTTTATCAAATGAGACCAAAAAAACTAGAATACAACCATAAAAACCATACGGAAATATACCACAAAGTGGCGGCTAGTGGCTGCGAAGTGAACTCCCTTATTTATCGTCCGTTTTTTATTTTTGGTGTACGTTAAGAAGCATCTTTCCATCATACATTGCCCAAGTTTCAATGAGATAGCCCAACAAATAACTGAGAAAAAAAAACAATATTTACCAAAAATCATGGCACACCCAAGCTAGGTACTGGAAATAAGTCACTTTGTCTGACATTTTTGGGTTATCCCAGGTTATCTATACATACGCTGCTATGTATGATAATCTATGTAACTGTATTTGTGTATAGTACCTGAATAAACTTACTTCTAGTCTGTCGACTGAGTACAAGAAACCGCCCATGCACATAAAAGGCCCGAAGATCTGGAACTCGCTACCGGAACAGGTCAAGGATCCCCAGACAGCTTATAAATTTAGGACTCTGCTAAAAAATCATCGTATCTCACAATATTAAAGCACTCCAGAGTGACTATTATATTTTATTACTATATCTGAAACGTATCTGAAGTTTGATCATAACTCGGATTTTGGTTCGCAACTCAAAGCAAAAAATCGACTGAGCGACGGCTTGTAACTCAGAAAACTCATAAGTTGGGCACTCAAAAGTCAAGGCACCACTGTATTCCAAACTTAAAATTGTTTCAATTTCATTACTATAAAATGTACTTGAAGACTGCTCAAACATTTACTCATTACTTCAAACTTACAAATGTTTTCAATTTCATTGTTTTAAATTGTGCTAAATTATAATATTTCATACTGTATATTGTGCTTGATGATTGCTCAACTACTTAATCATTACTTCGAGCTTAAAATTCTTTCAACTTCATTGTTCTAAATTGTTCTAAATTGTAATACTGTATTTTTTAAAAACTATATCAAAATTGTAATTATCCTCTACTGAACTTACTAAAGCCATATAGTGTGAACTAGTTGAATATTCAATTTTCTTGTATTCACTCTAACTCACCTAATGACCATATGTAAAATTACTGCACTGTTATTGCCGTATTAATCTTAAGTCAGTCTTAAGTTTGCCGGAAATGCTCTGCATAATATTAACCCTTTCAGGGTCCGTCCCGTAGATCTACGGCTTTACGGTGAGTGTCCAAACCGTAGATCTACGCCATGAGCTCAGCTCACTCTGATAAACTGTGAGTGGTACATTTAGGCCTAGATATGAGAGAATACATCTATGTGGTATGTGTGCACCACATAAAACAGATCCTGCAGCACACTCTGTATAATGAGAGAAAAAAACTGAAATCATGATTTTTCGATTAAAACAGCAACTTTGCAGCGTTTTTTCGTATGTTTTTTATAGTTGTATTTGCGATTTCTTGGTCTCATTTGATAGTATGGAAGACATATTACAGAAATAGATATGATTTTGATTGGTTTTAGCAACGGAAATGGCTTGAAACTGAGCTCAAAGTAGCGAAAATGTTAAATTTTTGCCGATATTCAAGAGTAAACAAACGACCTCACACATCTAATACACATCAGCTGGTGGGTCTAATATACATTCACAAATATGGTGATGATATTTATACAATTATTACAGTATTGCATAACAGTAAATCTTCTATTTTTTGGTGTGAATAAAAATTCATTATGTGAATAAAAAATCAAAATGGAATTTATTTGTAAAGCCTCAAAACATAACTAATGAACAGATGAAATGTTAGTTTAGTGCCAGGAATGCCTACATTGTTTATTCTGGACCCTATTTAGAAATTGGAATATTTTGAACTTTGTGCTAAATTGGCCAAATTAACAATTTCCGATCACTTTATTTTGTAGTTGAAACAGTTGATTTGGCGATTTCTTGTGCTCAATCGATAGAATAGAAGTAATACTAGTGAAATAGCTAAGAATTTGGTTGATTGGAATAATGTAATTGGCCTAAAATGGGAGTCAAAGTCGGCAAAATCGCCGATTCGTAAATATCGCTGACACATCAAAATTTGCGAGAGCATAATTTCGTCAATTTTCCACCAAATTTCGTACTTTTTGTTTTATTACCTTCACAAAAACATTCTCTACGATTTCATAAGAAAAAATAACCAATTTTTTTTTTTTTAAATTCTTAGACACTGGTGCGTGACTCCAGATTTGGGCCTTGGACCCTGAAAGGGTTAAGATGTTTATTTTGACAAATATAATGGTTGTACAGAGGAATAAAACAGTTGGGTGTACATGCCAAAAGCCCCTTAGTATGCAGAGCATTTCGGGCAAACTTAAAGATTAACTTAAGATTAGTAAGGTAATAATACATAGTTCATATGGTCATTAGAAGAGTTACAGTGAGTACAGGAGAACTGAATATTCTATCAGGTAATGCTACATGGTTTTGATAAGTCTAGTAGAGACTTATTACACTATTGAATTAGTTAATAAAGATTACAGTATTACAATGTAGCAATTTAAAACAATTTACAATATGATGTATAACAGTTTAGTACTATTTAAAACAATGAAATTTGGTATTACAATGGAACAATTTACAATATTATGTACTGTATTACAATCTACTACTACTTAAAACAATGAAAAAACAGACATCCTAATTTCGAAGAAGTAAGTGGTTGAGCATTCATCAGCACAATGTGAGTAGCTTTTGAGAAACTGATAGTGATTATGTACGGTTTGTCTGGTTAATTTTGGGTGATGAGGTGATTTCTTATTTGGGCCTTAACCCTTTTATTTGTCCAGAGACCAGGGGTCTTTAGTACGTTACTAGTACCAAAGAATTCCGACTCAAATCAGGGGGGCTTTTACCTTGCATAGAATTCTATTGCATAGGAGAGATAACAAAGGATCTCGAAAGGTGCATTTGTGAACTCTTTATTTTTTTCTGTTAAAATTATCAAGAGGACTTTGAGAGAATTTGTATTATATTAGTGTACAGTTTTCTTGGTTAATGTAAATACACAATAAATTGGGTGATTTTGATGGTTTCACTGAAATTGCTTGAAATTCTCAAAGTAGCAAACATTTATCAAACTCAAAATAAACAAATCTTGCAACTGTCACTGTCAAATGTCATTTAGAAATTTTGCCACAAGTGATCATTTACACATATGTTACCAACAAGTGTTCATTTATGCCCATGTTGTCAACTGTTTATTGCATTTTACTGAACATGTTAATTAAGTCACACAAAATGCTCTAAACCCAAGGAAAAGCAGAGTGAATGAGGAGTGTATATGTGAGTGAGCAGAAAAACAAACTGGCGCTGGTGACCTACATCTCAGGGAACGATGAAAACAGACAGAGCCTGGATGTGGCCACTTTGGCCCATACCAGAGAAATGCCAGCATTTGGGAACTTGGCCTGATACTTCAGCAGACAACCAGACACCATCGCTACAGACAAATTGTGAAATTTTGGACTTCTGTCTATTCTGTCTGACAATCTGAGCATTTGTCTAGCCAACTTTTTGTCCAAAATTGCTGAAATTTGTTACCAAGAGGTTTTACTGTACATAAGTTAGTTATTAATGAATAATTTTCAAAGGTAAAGCTACTTACCTGCCAAAGCCGATGGTTGAGTAGGTCTTGCTGGAGGAACTCCAGCCATCATTCCTCCTGAAATAATATACAAGCTAATGAACCTAATCATTACAACACCCCATATGCTGCACTGATACTCTTCTTAGTCTTACTCTTGTCAGACAATTCATAGGACTAGCCCAGTATTATCTTCCCCTGACATACCTGTGACCAGTTTCAAGGTTCCTCTATCCCTGTAACCAGGTCTGAAACCAAAATTATTGAGCAACTTCTGATTATGAAGGTATTTCTGCCAGCATATTATAACAGGCTTAGTAAATCTGTTGTTTATTTATTTTTTTTATTTATTTATTAACAATTTGAGCATACATACAGAGGTACAAAAAAATACAGATAAGAGCAGCATGCCAAAGCCACTTATACTATGCATAGCATTACGGGCTGGCTTAAAATTAACTAAGCAATGATGAAATCAGTGATAAAGCATTAGTAAGCATTAGTAAGTATTCTCTAATATATACTGTAAGATTTCACAACTAATCCATAAATAGCAAATTTGATGACATTTATAAATCCAGGGTCATTATCAATAGTCCAGAACAGATCAAAATTATGTCATGAATTTCACCTTGTTTTGGCTAAGAGATGTGAAATTATATGACCTGTACACTAGAATACAGTAGATATTACAGAAACTTGAGATCACTCTCATATACTAGACTAATTACACTACTAAAAGCCTAAGTGTGGGTGGGTACTAGGTAACATGCCATTAGGAGTCATGTCCATTACTTATAAACTTAACTTTGTTGACTGAATGGTAAGGTGCAAGCTACACTGACACAGCTGCTAAAATTATGAGTGGAGCTTCAAACCTTTATCATGCCTGAGTGGTGCAAATTTTATATTTAAAGCTGTTTTATGCAGTGGAAAAATTTATGGTGCACACACAAGGTAACAAGTAGTAGTTGTTGCAATATACAAGATTTTGGGGCTTGTAAAGTAAAAGGACACAAGTGCAACTAATGTGACATTTATTGTGGCAACGTTTCGCTCTCCAGGAGCGAAACGTTGCCACAATAAATGTCACATTAGTTGCACTTGTGTCCCTTTTACTTTACATATTGTCGGTAATTCTACCAACTTTATTACAATTTTTGGGCTTATAGACCCAAGTGTATTACAAGGACAACTTAAGTAATATCATGGATTATTTTACGTACCCAAAATTTCCCAGCCAACACCCACTTGATAAAACATGAAACTTAGCAAAAAAACAATGTAACGCCAAGTTTATCATCCTAGCAATAGGACTGATCTGCATACTTTCTACTTTTGATGCCACTGACATAATGGAAATAAATGGTATCAAATACCGACACAGTGGAAATATAAACACATATGCAGTATGTGACTTGTCTGTGTGTGACTTGAAAAAGCCCACTATGTGGGTGAAACGTTGTCAATAAAGGATCACATTATACTGCATATGTGTTTATATTTCCGCCACTGACATAACTGTGACAATTGTTAAAAATTCTTTTATCCTCACAACCCAGCCTCATGCTAGGCTTCCTTGTGACCTGCCTGGCCACCAGACTTACTGCTAGTTACATCACAACCCAGCTGATCACAAACTTGGTTGTTTCCTCTGGTTCTGGCAATATTTCTAACATTTTCTAGTAACAGGCTGAAGTCAAAAACCACAAGTGTTGGATGACACAGTGTTCTTTAACTGTGACTCAGTCAGTCACTTTTCACTGGGTTTATCCTACACTTCCTCTCATACATACTGATTCAGTGCATGAAAACCACCACAGTAATTAGAATGCACAAGGCAGCTCTTGTAAAGAATGTGATTCAGATTATATAACTGAGACTTGTAGACAGACAGCAGGACACAAACTTAAGAAGACACACTAGAAGAGTCTACAGAAAACAAACAATATTTCTATAAAGTGGAATACAGTATATTATACAATAAGGCGACTGACATACATTATTACTTTCTATGAAGTCCCATGTTATGGTAAACATTCCGAGCAGCCTGAAAAAACAAATTATGAGCTGCAAATATATGAGAATAAGAATAACATAGTTTTTAAAATACTGGAGGTACAGTAAAGACTCCACAACAGACATAGGGTCAACAAGGTCAGCCTTGGACACATTCTGGCCACAATTTTTTCCAAGTAGAGTTCAAAGTCCTAGAAGTCACTTCCTGCCAAACCTTACCTATAAGGCTTATGCAATGGAGGATATTGAAGTGATCCCTCCAGAACTCTCTTTAGGTCAATTCAGTGTCCGAGAGCACTTCAAAGCACCTTTAAAACATTGCTTTGATGAAGAGTTGTTTTGAATTTAGAAATGACCTGCTGGTCAATGGGGTGGATGAGAGGAGTGGTGTTAGGAGGCAAGAACTTCACTGTTATGAAACTGAAGTCCGTATACAATTGGTCTTCCAAGTCTGGAGGAGCAGCAGCAGCACTGTCCAGTACCAGGAGGTATTTTTTCACACTCAGGCTAAACACTTCACAGACCTGCCTCATGACCCATGCCTTATTATTAGCTTTCCACATCACACACAATTTACTCTTGGGGACACTGTTCTTCTTGAACACTCTGGGATTTTCAGAGTGATACACCAGTAAAGGCTTCACGTTGAAATCCCCACTAGCATTACCACAAAACAATAGAGTTAGCCTATCCTTCATAAGCTTGTGTCCTGGCAGTGCCTTTTCCTTCTTCATGATGTAGGTTCTCTTTGGCATTTTCTTCCAAAAGAGGCCTGTTTCGTCACAACTGAACACTTGTTGGGGAAGGCATCCTTCATCCTCTATGTAATCCTTGAATTCATGCACAAATTCTTCAGCCGCACGTTTGTCTGAACTTGCAGCCTCACCATGCTTTACAACACTGTGTATGCCACTACGCTTCTTGAATCTGTCGAACCAGCCTCTGCTGGCCTTAAATTCACTAACAGCAGCACTCATTCCAGGCATTTTCTTTAAGAGATCCGCATGTAACTGCCTTGCCTTTTTGCAAATGATCGACTCCACAACACTATCTCCTGCTAATTGTTTTTCGTTGATCCACACCAGCAACAACTTCTCCACATCTTCGACTACTTGTGATCTCTGTTTCGTTACCATATTCACCCCTTTCACAACTTTAGCTTCCTTGATTTCTACTTTCTTTGCCAGGATGGAAAAGATTGTTGATTTCGACTTCCCATACATTCTAGCAAGCTCGGCTAAACGTACACCACTTTCGTATTTATCTACAATCTCTATCTTGAATTCTATCATGTTTCTCAATTTCTTTACCAAAGGCTGGCAATAGGAACTTTCTTTGGGCCCATGGTGGCTTATTTCACAGTCACAATCAATAAACAAGCAAAAAAATTGCGAAATGTTTCGAATGAATACTCACTCAAGCAGTGGCAGAGCCAGACTGACGGCGTTCCCCTGGCAGATGGACACGTATAATATGAGCAATTCCCAGGACAAGGTCCAAAATTCAAAGCAAAATTTTGAACAAAAAAGTGTCTGAAATCCGAAAAGTCCGATAAACGGTGCATGCAAAATCTGGGGTTCCACTGCATGTTTTGTACCATCTCACTATTACCAATTTTATTAGCCCTTTCAGGGTCCACAGGCCAAATCTCAGTGATAAGCAGAGACCAAGAATTTTCAAAAAAAAAAATTTGTTATTTTTTCTTATGAAATGGCAGATAATCTTTTTCTGAAGGTAATAAGCAAAAAGTACAAAATTTGATGGAAAATTGATGAAATTACGCTCACATGAATTTTGATGCGTCAGAGATATTTACACATCAGTGTGACTCACAAAATCGTAATGACACGATTGCAAACAAACCATACCACGGGCGGGATTGAACCCGCGGTCAGAGTGTCTGGAGTTTTGAGACTCTCTGACTGCGGGTTCAATCCCGCCCGTGGTATGGTTTACACATCAGTGATTTTTGCTGACGGACTCACATTTTAGGCCAATTACATTATTCCAATCGACCAAATTCTTAGCTATATTGCTAGTGTCATTTCTATTTTATCGATTGAGCACAAGAAATTGCCCAGCCAACTCTTTCAACTACCCAATAGTGATCAGAAATTGATAATTTGGCCAATTTAACACAAAGTTCAAAATACTCCAATTTCAAAATAGGATCCAGAATAAACAATGCAGGCATTCCTGGCACTAAAATAACATTTTCTCTGTTTATTAGATTTACATTATTTCTTATGAGGAAAATGGTTTCAGTTTTCGTGAATTTCACATTTCGTCAGACTCTCTGGAATGGATTAATCATGAAAAGGGAAGGTCCACTGTAACTGTATAAATAATGTCTGTGCATTCCTAAATGTGTATTAGACCGACCATTTGGACATGTATCAAATGTGACGTCATTTGCATATTCTGGAATATCGGCAAAAAAAATCAACCCATGCATCCAATACACGTCAACTGGCGAGTCTAATATTCTTTCACAAGTGTGCTGATATTATTTATACCATTTCTACACTAATGCAGTAGTCTGCATAACAGTAAATCTTCTACTTTTTTGTGAGAATAAAAATTCAAAGTGGAAAACAAAAGAAATGTAACAGAGGCCTGGGGACATGACTAATGAACAGAGGAAATGTTATTTTAGTGCCAGGAATGTCTGTCTTGTTTATTCTGGACCCTATCTGGAAATTGGCATCTTTTGAAATTTGTGTGAAATTGGCAAAATTGCCAATTTTGAACCACTTTATTGGATAGCTGAAATCGATAAATGGGTGGTTTCTTGTACTCATTCGATAGAAAAAATGGAGTTCTAGCGAAATTGTTATGATTTTTGTCGACTGGTACATTGGAATTGGCCGAAAATAGGGCTCAAAGTGGGCAAAATCGCCGATGCGTAAACATCATCGAGACCGCTAACTTTGTGAGAGCATAATTCCGTAAGTTTTCCATCAAATTTCATACTTTTGGTGTCATTATGATCAGGAAAAGATTCTCTTTCATTTCATAAGAAAAAAATCATTTTTTTCCGAAAAATTTCTGACCCTGAGAACAAGTTTAGGAGAGGGCCTGCCGACCCTGAAAGGGTTAAACCAAAAACACAGTCAAAGTTTTTTCTCG